TTATATTGAGATAATCGTTCGATTTGAAACAAATAATTATTGCAAAAGTAAAAAGTGTAACCACTCGTACTTATATATCGTATTTAATATTATAAGTTACGATTATATATGAACCGAAAAAAGAATCCAAATTTATCAATCGTATGTTTTTTCTAATCGCACTGAAAATATTAAATATCAATTTAAAAAAAATAATTCGTGATTGTACGAAGATCACGAAAAAATTAAAACAAAAAATCCATAAAAAAATAAAAAAAAGCAAAGGTTTAACATTCGTCACGAAATTAGAACGCAAATTATGAAAAATTAAAATCGATCGCACTTCCTTTATATCATTGATTTCTATCATCTACATTTTACATGTAATTCTGAAAGACAGAAAAGAAGAAAAAGAGAAAAAAAAATATATATATATATATATATATATATTTATCGTACGTAAGTGAGCAAGTAAGTAAATACTTGTGTCTCATTTTGATTTTGATATATCCCGTTATTATCGATCCAAAACAAAAAAAACAAGAAATGAAAAAATAAAGAAAGAAATCACTGGTGGTAGATAGAGTAGAGAGAGAAAGAGAGAGAGAGAGAGAGAGAGAGAGAGAGAGAGAGAGAGAGAAAGAAAAAAAGGGAGAAAGAGAGAGAAAGAGAAAGAGAGAGAGAGAGAAGATGAAATCACAGACATCGTCTTATTGTTCATAACATTCTCATGATATTTTAAAACGATAATTTAAGGAGAGAAAAAGCAGATCCTGGGAAGGAAAGCAAAAGTAGTAAGAAGGGCACCATGGGCGGCATTTGACCTCCCACGAGCGTGCCACGACTAACAAGAAGAAGAAAAAGAGGAAAAAGAAGAAAAAGAAGAAAAAGGAAAGAAAGAAAAAGAAGAAGATGATGACGATGAAAAAGGAGAGGGAAGATAGAAGAGAAGATCGGACTCTGTATAGGGGATTTTCTATAAACTCCCGACGGATAGAAAAAGAGAGAGAAAGAGAGAGAAAAAGATAGAGAGAGAAGCATCGGTGCCATATAGTCGCATGAAGCAGCTTATGTATTTAAACGCGAACGGACGCGACGGACGGTCCGATCTTTCTTTCTCTTGACAAAGAGCCCTTTTGTATCTATACGACCATGTACTTACTAACATAGAGAGACGTTCGAGACGCTTGCAACTGGACACCATCGTTCCCGTTGACTTTCAGGATTTCTTTTGCTTCTGTCCACCTATTTAATGGTAATCGATTTAAATCTCACTTGGTAAGAATAAAAAATTATTCTTTTGTATAATTCATTTAACAGATAAGTGAGTAAGTATTTAGTTGTTCTATATTTCAATCCGTTGGAAATAATAATTTGATAAAGAAATTTTTTAATGTTAGTGTTCAAATATAAAGGTTCTTTTAATTCAGATTTAAAGAATTAAATCTGTTATATATATATATATATATATATATATATATATATATATATATACTTGTATACGTATAAGTATATAAATTATGATTAACGATAAATTATAAAAATTTATTAATAAACCATAATAAATATTAATATATAATTATAATCTATAAATTATAATTATGTATAAATAGAAATTAATTAAATAAAATTTCTAGAAATTCGATGGTTAAAGTACATATTTTGAAATTTGTATTTTTTAATTTTGCGTATCCTCTGTTTTCACATTAATTGATAAAATTAAAATCTTAAGAAACTAAAAAAATCTCTAATAAGGTATATCTATCTACCTATTAAACGTATGTTAAAATAATTTTAATTATTCCTTCAAATATACACAAACACACTCACATACGCAAAAATAATTTTATCTATACTTAATCAAATGAATTATTTTGACGACATGTGATGTAACATTTTACCAAGAAATAATTATTTTATAAAATTGTAATCTGTGATGTGATTTGTGTGAAAAATAAAATTCGAATTTAAAAAAAGAAAAGAAAAACAAAAAAACAAAAAAGAAACAAAAAAAAAAGAAATAAAAAAGAAGGGGAAGAAAGAAAAACAAAATTTTGTCTTGGACAATAGGTTCGCACGCGTACCAGCAGGTCCTCGAGACGCCGCGGCCGGCGTCGCTTTCCCACAGTTAAGAAGGCGCCTCGCTATCTCTTGGCGCCTACTATACACGACAGGGCCACGCATTCACCAACACAAATGTTTCTTCCTATTCGTAATCGTACGTCCAACACATTAACCATCCCAATACAAATATATTGAAAATATATATATATATATATATATATATATATATATATATATGTAATTATTATTTTAATATTAAAATTAAAGCATATCCTTTGAAAAGATTCTTTTGAAAATACAATAATACATCATAGGTCGTAAATCCATAATTTGTTAACTCATTATACTTGAAAAAAAATTTTTGTTTTAATGAATTGACATCAATTGACTCATAATATTAAAAAGAAAAAAGAATCTATAATAATTATTATAATAATCATTATATATATATATATATATATATATATATATATATATATATATAAATATAATATTGCAATGATTAGAAGATACATTTCTCTCTTCTTTCACTGTCTAATTCTATGTTACATTATATTACATAATAATATATACATACACTTTAACACTATGTTATAATACTATCATAAATAATAATTTTTATTATTATTATAATCATACGTTGATATGAAAAGAGTGTGATGAAAAAAAAAAAAATAGGAAAAGAGGAAAAAAATTTTCTTTTTTTTTTTCTTTGTCTTTTTCTTCTTTTTAATTTTTTCTTTTTTTAAATTAGCCGGTAGGATTAAGTTTCGAGGGTTCGATTTTTCGAATTCCAGGGTCGAGCTTCAAGGGTTCTGGGCGCCTCTAGAAAGAGAGGTCTGGATTATGTTACTTTCGACTCGTCGTCGAAATCGCAGACTCGAAAAAGGGGGGTACTATATTTCTCTTTTTCCTTTCGACCATTGGGGCGGGAAAAATGCATTGTTTTGTTTTTCCTTCACCCTCTCATTTCACGGGAATGATTCGTCACCGAAAATGAAACCTTTTTAAATCTTGACGGGTGAACGTCACGCGTCCGACACGTCAAGATACTCTCTCTCTCTTTCTTTCATTTCTAGTTAAACTCTTTGTAAACTATCTCTCGCTTACAAAATGTAATCTGAAACTGCCTTAAATGACTTAATAATCATGTGGTTATTAAGCATAAACTTCGGATAAGATTAAAAAAATATTTTGTTTCTTTTTTTATTTTTTATTTTTTTTATTTTTTTAAGTAAAAGAGATTAATTAATAAAAATAATTCAACGAAAAATTCAAACCGTTATCCCGTTGAATAATTCAAATATCATTTATTATTACTAATTAATAATCAATTATAATTAATTTGATAAGTATCTCGATGAAAAGAAATTAAATCGAGAAAATAATCAACTAAGATATTCCAGCCCTTTATTATTCCAGCATCGTATAATATTTCTACTATTGATTAATTGACTTGATATAATTGCTTAATAAAAAAAAAAAAAAAAAAAAAGAAAAGAAAACAAAGAAACAAAGAAGAAAAAAGAAAGGAATAAATTAAGTAAAATAATAACCCAAAAAAAGCTCTATTTACTTCTATCCAATCAATACTTCAACGTTGCTTTACTTTCCGCATTTAATTAATTAATAAGACGATAAACGATTTATGTTATCGATTTGATAAACGATGTTTGTCGATTCATTAATCATAATATGTAAAAATAATCGAATTAATTTCTATTTTAAAATATTATTGATCGATGTTGTCTAGATACTAATATCTATATATATATTTAAACCGTCTCGTGAGGAATGGCGAATGATATATATATATATCTATATATATACACTTTTACGTAAATGAATCTACGCTTGTCCATCGATGGCATTTAATCGTAAGAGTATCTACGAAGGACGCTCGGATCCCTCGATCTTTCGATTGGTCAAGTCAGCCAATATAGGCGGGTCTTGGGTTTGCTCCTCCGCCCTAACTCACTCTCGCGTTATGGCTGTCTACCAAGCAAAAAGTTTATTTCGCATCGTGTTTACTACTTATTCACTTACTTACGTACTTATTCCCTATCCTAATTATAATGCGTTGCAAACGGACATGCTCGTCATTATTCGCATTCTTTTTTTTCTTTTTGATCTTCCTTCGTTATCTTCATTGGATCCCAAACGTGGCTCGAAAAAAAAGAGAAAAAAAACAATCTTTCTTTATTTTTTAACATTCACTATTTACCTAGATATTAATCGAAATATTTTTTAATTTTAAGTGAGATTGATAAAAATAAATAGAAAACAAACTGTTAAATATCAATCGTCGAAGTAAAATACTGCAATTTTTTGAGGCAATTTATAAAATAATAATAATAATAATAATAATAATAATAACAATAATAATAATTATAATAATAATAATAATAATAATAATAATAATAATAATAATAATTGAAAAAAAGTAATCAGAGGATCAATATTAAATGTTGACAATCAAATGATCAAAAAAGTGACAAAATTATTTTTTCACATAAGATCAATAATTTTTAAAAACTTTCATAAATGTTAATCGTCAAATATGAAAGTCTAAAAAATTAGATAACCATAAAAAAAAATAAGCTCTTAATGTATAAATAATTAAATATCTGATCTGGCAGAGAGAAATCATGTGTAAATAATTAACGATCAAGAATTCTTATTCAAGAAAAATAATTAAAAAATCACTAATGACGATCGTTTAAATAAAATATTTATTATAATAAATGATATAAGAAATAAGTATAGTTAAATGTGAGATAAAATTGAGTGAATTAGAAAGAGAAAGAAAGTATATATATTCATACATATATACATACATACATATATACATACATGCATACATACATACATTCATATATATATATATATGCTGAGATAAAACGACCACCCTCATGGAGCGGTAGCGCCAATACGTGGGTGTGCTGGTAAAAATCTCGTCTTTGCGAGCAGAGAACACGCCGAGGAGAGGAAGGACACGCGCTTACGCATACATAGACATTGAAAAAGGAACGAGGGAGCGCGCGCACACACTCACTCAAGCCTCTATCGTTTCGCTGTCCCTGTCCGACGAAAGACCCCAACACTTGACTCTCATCGTGAAACCAAGTCACATTACACGTTCGCCCTCCGACCTGACCGTTCCATGACCGTGATCATCCCTTAAAAATTTTACAAGTTTGACGTATTTTATTCGTTATCATTATCTCAATTATCAAATTTAAAAGAGGAGGATTCTTACGATATTCCTTAATGTCGAGTTTTTAAGATTTAAACGAACGTTCGGCGTGTTGTCTTGAAAGTGTCAAATAAGTTCACTTTGAGAAACGAGTGATTCGAAATTATTTTCTATTCAAAGAAGAGGAAAGATAAGTAATATTGATCGATCAAAAATTTTCTACGTTCTGCGTTTCTAGGATCTTCGAAGCTAGGAATCTAAACGAACGGATAATGCTTTAGAATGTTGTCCTCTTCAATATCGGCTACTCCGTTCAGCGTACGTGATATCCTTAACGAGGATCAACAGTTTGCAGTAATGGAGTGTTATCCTCATCATCAACATCAACCTCATCATCAACAACAACAACAACAACATCAACAACAACAGCAACAGCAACAGCAACAACAACAGCAACAGCAGCAGCAACAACAACCACAACAACCTCATATACCACAGGATTATTACGCGTACAACGTGGTGCCTGACAATAATTGGGACACGGACAAATTCAAGGAACAAGGGGTGCCTGGTTATTCTCATTATTCCGAATTAAATCATGTACATCAGCTGAGTCAAGTCGTCCCGCCTTATCAAGAAACTCCTGTCACCGAAGATGGTTAGTCACGTTTTATTTATTTCTTATCGAGTTATATATATATAACATATATATTATATATGTTTGTCTGACAAAAAAATAGTGTTTGAAAGTACGATAATTCAAATTAATTAACTTTAACTATTAAAATAAATTGACGTATGTTTATGTAAATAAGAAATTATATTCTGTCTTGAAAAAGTTTTACGATCATCGAAATGAAACTTTCAAGCCTTGAATGTTTTGACTTTAATTTTAATGAGTGAATAAAATTCGTACTAATTTAATCTATTACGAGTTCATTGATAATTAATTAAACTTATAGAAATAATTTAATAATTCCATTTTTCTTCAGGGAACATCGTGACGTCAAGCAAAACGGAATTGCGAAAGAGTCAGTCCGGTAAAAGAACGAAAAGAAAACCAAGAGTATTATTTTCGCAGGTGGGTAAATATTTGAAAACAATTTTTAAAAGAATGAAAAACTTTCGTTTGATATCGTCCAAGAAAAAAAATTCATTAAAAAAGAAATTCGATGTTTATTTCATTAGACACAAGTTTATGAATTGGAACAACGTTTCAAGCAACAACGATACCTAAGTGCACCAGAACGTGAAATGTTGGCGCAGAGTTTGAAGTTGACAAGTACTCAGGTGAAAATCTGGTTCCAGAATCGTCGTTACAAGAACAAACGTGCGAGACTCGAGGACGCTGAGAAACTTCAGGCACAGGGTATGAAGAATCAATCGTTGAAGAAAATTTCTGTACCCGTTTTGATAAAAGATGGTAAACCGAACGTTCACGAAGCTTACAACGTACCATATTGGTCGAACGTCCGACCGGACATGTCAATGAACATTCAAGGAGACTTTAGAAGTTCTGAATCGATCGTTAGATTGAGCCCAGAGTTCAGAACAAGTTCGAGCGAGATGAGAATGGATTCGAATATCAGTCCGGAGTACAGAAATGAAGTCAATTCTGATCATAGCAATAGGTCTGTACTTAACATTGACGTACAACAAAGACAACAAATGTTGCCGAACAACGAATACAGATCCAATTACGTTACGGATATTCGTCCTGGTGTTCACGAGTGTGTCAGAACGATCAAGACCGAATACAAAGGTACAACAAATCCTGTTAACGACGTAACCTTTCCCGATTTGAAATGTGTACCGGCGGATAACAAAATGGTAGCCGAGTGTCGAGCTGGTATAATGGATGTCTCCAGTACCGAGTATGGTTTCACGAATTATATCAGTCCGTTGAATTATCCGATGCAATATGTGAACACGATCGACGCACAAATATCGTCAGGAATTGATCAAAATCTTCAACGATTGTGGTAAATCGAAGATTAACACTGGTGATTTTACCTACGACGTACGAACTTAAATAAGTGTTTACATTTTTTTATTGACGAAAACACATCGACCAATGAAATCCGATTTTTGGATTAATTATTAGATTGTAATATTAATAGAGAAGACAAAAACGAAGACGATATTGATGGAACGACGAATCTCCGAAATTTTTATCAAAACCATTAATTTTTCTTTTTCATTTCTTTTTTTGTTTCTTTTTTTCTTTTGTTTTCGTTTTTAAGGACACTCTCCACGATCAACTAAAGAGGTATAAATAATAATTAAGTTTTACAATTAGATTATTTTCTAAACGTCAGCACGTATTATAATTGTAGTTATCACTATAGAAAAGAAAAAAAAAAAAGAAAAAAAAGTTAATTCAAGAATTTAGTTATTTAGTAGTTATTGGCAGCTGTTCTATTACTTCTTTTTTTCTTTCTTTTTTTTTTGTCTTATAACTTTAGTTAGGTAAGCTTTTTTTCTTCTTCCTCTCACTCTCTCTCTCTCTCTCTCTTTCTCTTTCTCTCTCTCTCTCTCTCTCTCGCTCTCTCTCTCTCTATTTCTCTCTCTCCCTCCATCTTTTTATCTCTTTCTCTTTCATTCTCACTCACTCTCGGAGAAATCCAAGGATAGTGCCTTGAGTGGCCGCAACGGAAACCGCTTCAAGTGGTTTTTGCGGAAACATTTAGTTCAATATTCCGCGTAACTCGCGTCCCATCGTAAAATTCTTTTTTTAGATCATTCAGACCGTTCGAAGTGGCCCGAAACACCTGACCGTCGCAATCGTTAGATATATATATATATATATATATATATATATATATATATATATTTACGAAAAATCTTTAATTGATCTCGTATTTCGAATCTTGTAGGAAGTAAAAAGAAAAAAAAAAGAAAGAAAAAATATTCGATTTCTTGATCGAAAAATTTTAAACGCCACGGTATAGACTTCCTTCGTATCATAAAATAAATTCAAGATCCTATATTTCTTTTTATCGTCCTTCAGGATTTACGAAGCCAATGTTTAACATACATACATACGTCCCACTTGAACTCGATTAGCGTCACTCTCGGCTATACACACCTTCCATCATCCGAGAAGTGATTTTCTTTTTTCATCACGAACTATTAAATTTTGTTTTCCTTTTTTTCTTCTCAATACGCAAAAAAACGCACGCATAGATATATACAGATATTTGTGGATGTATATATGTATGTATGTATGTATGTATGTATGTATGTATGTATGTATGTATGTATGTATGCATATATGTTGTATGTATGTGTGTACGTATAAATAAATCTAAGACGGAAAGAAGGAACAAAGAATTAACAATGTGGATATAAAGATATAAAGAATGAGAATATAGAAAGAATTGGCGATAGAGAATTTAATAGAAATAATATGGCAAAACGGCATTTATAAATAGGTGAGTTCTGACAGCTTGAGCTAAGCCATGGGTGCCTTTTAGGTTATCGCATGAGCACGACGGGTCATCTGGCAGTCAAGTGCCCCGTACGTAGACGACTTTACGTCGGTGTGCATAACGTGTGCTCGTGTAAGAACTTGGTGCTCTCCTTGTAATCGTGTTTCGTGGTGCTACCGACGCTATAAAGGGCCATGGGAACATGCTGATAAAAATGTCAGTCTTAATTTTATAAAGATCGAGCGCGAACCTTCCCACGTGATCGTGATCATGACTTATTATATGGACTACGTAACTATGTATGTATGGATGTACGTATATATGTATGTATGTATAGATGTATGTATGTATGTATGTACGTATGTATGTATGTATGTATGTATGTGTGTACGTATGTATGTATGCATGTAACTAAATGAAAAACAAAGAGAAAGCAATGATTGTGTTGCGTTTTTATCTTTTGATTTGAAAAAAAAAGTATTAAGTTTAATCATACATCTTCGACTCGATGTAAAGAACGATCTGTGTAAATAAAATAATAAAATAAGCAAATTTTCATGAAAAATTATTGTTTGTTTTTATTTTATTATATTGTTATATTTTATTTTATTATTAAATTATATTGTTTGTTTTTTTTTTCTTTCATCTACAAATTTCTACGATTATTATCCTCAAGGAGTAATATAATGTTTTTTTTTTTTACTTTTCTTCATAATATTAATTAAATAAAATTATTTCTTTATTGAATTTTCTTATCTAATAATACATCTTCATCTTTGAACCGCATACGGAGATACGCATACGTTAAACACATTCCAGATTATTTCTTCTTTGTAAATCGATGACCGTCCATTATACGGTCGTATATTAATATGATCAATCACAGGATGTTTAACGTCGAAATACGATCCTATTTGCCTGTAAGCAAACTGTGGTGTAGGTAGAGTAAGGAATGAGAAGGGAGTGGGGGCAAGAGCTGTGAGTACTCCCCAAAAGGGTAGGCACGCGATAGCGTTCAAATAGATTCCCTTCTTCTATGCATAAAACGTTTAACGGCGGCACATGACGTATATTGCCTAATTGACTCATCTTTTTTTTGTTTTTGTCCTTTCTTTCCATGAGTATCATTAATCACTACTTCGTATTAATCCTCTTCTCTTTTTTCTCTATTAAGAAAAAAAAAAAAAAAAAAGAAAAAACAAACTGACGTTTATTTTATTTGAAAACTTTTATATTCGATAAAATATAATAAAATAAAGTTTTGATAGATTGTACTATTTTAACTATAGAAACGTTTGGAAATATTCTTTAGTTCGTTGTGCGATCAGTTTATGTTTCTTTTCTAATTTAAGCTATGACTTAATACATGTACGTATTGCATACCATAAGTTTGACGTGGCTACTATGACGACTATTGTTCAATAAAAAACTAAATACTTTGATGATCTTGACACTTTTGAAAATTTAACAATCGATTTTATAGAATTATTAAAGTTTATTTAAATATTTGTTGAAATATTTTTATTACAAAAAGAATATCAATGGTCGGTTATGTAGATTTTTGTTTTTCACCATGATAAAGGGAGAAAACTTCTTTATCGGTGACAGCAATATCATCTTCCCAGGTAGATTACTTTTTTACCGACTCTCGGTGATATTGTTCTCTTTAAATCTTTCAAGAGACTATTTCGTGGTGCACTCTGTAAAATAAAACAACAAAACTACGAGTTCTTCGTGAAACATAATAAAAAAAACAAGAAATAAAGAAAAAAAAAATAAAAACAAAACAAAAAATGGATAAATCAAATAAAAATAACGTGAATCGATCGGATCATTTTCGTAAGTAGTCAGCGCGTCTACTAACTCTGAAAAGTTTGCAATAAACTTCTCAATATACGAATCGTCTAAACACAAAAAGGGAACAAATTGCTTCGTTAAATTTTTGTGGTGTGGGTCGATGGATTCGTGGCCAAAAAAAACAACTGCTTCGGTATTCCTCCGGATAATGTTAAAGCAACAATGATTTATAACATCTCGTTAGACATCGAAATGAGAACGAGGATAAGCAGAAGAAACTCAAGATACTATTAGACTCCATAAAAATATAGCGATATACAAATTGATCGAGATTTTCAAGTGATTATCCACTTTGTATAGTTATTAATATATATATATATATATATATATATATATATATATATATATATATGTATATCTGTATTATTCTACGTAATTTATATACATTTTTTTTATAGATATATTGCACGCATCCGAAAGCGTATATAAATCAAAATAAAAAAAAAATTGTTTAAAAAATACATATATATATATATATATATATATATATATATATACATATTTTTTTTCTCATCGATGGAATAGACACTAGTATCACAAACAGATTCGTCCACTAATTGGTCATCATTTCAGCGAAGTCCGGACGTCGTTTGCGTCTGTTCGCTTTTCGAAAGAGACGACTACGCGAAGAGGAAAGAAGGAAGACAGGAAAACACAAAACGAGAGAGAAAGAGAGAGAGAGAGAGAGAGAGAGAGGGAAAAAAGAGGAAGGAAAGGAGGCAAAGAACAGGGACGAAGATGCTGGCGCTTACGTATACGCATACATAGGCGTATGTACCTATAGTAAACCCATACATACGAATGTACACGAGCTAAGCACTAATATTACATCTCTGAACTGACAGACGCGCGGACTTTAAAAGCCAAGACTAACAAACAGTTAGCAGTCATCCGGTCTTCTTGTTTTTATATTCTTAGGACGGCCGTGCGCGCGCGCACCCGCGCTCGCAAACTCGCTCGCCCATGAAGAGAGACAGACAGAGAGAGAGAGAGTGAGAGAGAGAGAGAGAGAGAGAGAGAGAAAGAGCTCATCTCTCGTGATCGCCTTTTACACGGATACGTCGATCGCTTTCGCTTCGTCAGAACGACGACGTCTCGACGCGAGAGCGAAATTTCCTGCTCCTACTCGACGCGGTTAAACTAAGTTAAACGCTTCTGTTCTGTACTCATTCTCTCTCTTACTCCCTCTCTCTCTCTCTCTCTCTCTTTCTCTCTCTCCCTCTCTCTCTCTTTCTCCCTCTATCTATCTCTATCTCTATACATCTATCTGTTTCTCTCTCTCTCTCTCTCTCTCTTGTTCTGCCTCTCTCTCTTGTTCTGTCTCTCTCTCTCTCTTTGCACTTGAATCGTCTCCTACGAGATGCCTTTCTCCTCGGGAAATTTCGCGGAAGCCTGGGCGACCAGGCTTTAAATAAATGCATGAACTTTCGGAAAGCAACCACGTTCCTTGCGTTCCGATCGGATTTCGTAGAAACGAGAAGATCTTACGAATGAGTCTCTCCTTAAACTTATTGTTACTACTATAGATGATCCAAAATTTATTTATCTTTCCTTTCGAAAGAAAGAAAGAAAAAGAAAGAATAAATCGGACGTCGTTCTTTCCCTTTTGTTTTTCTTTCTTTTTTTTTCTCTAGAACGAGAAAACAAAAAACAAAATTATCAGTCTCTTATTTCTTTCTTTTTTTTTTTTTTTTTTATTATTATTATCACAATTCAAGTTTTGGTCGAAAAAAGAAAAATAAAAAAATAAAAATAAAAATGAAAATAAATAACAAAAAAGAAAACTCCGTAATCATCGAAACGTTCACTAATAGGCGTCGACGTTTTTATTTTATAAGCTACGACCGCATCAAAAGTAGTACGGACTTCGATCGGCCCTTCCGGCCGGAATCAAACGTTTCGACTGGCCGCAAATCGTCGATATATTTCGAGCGATTGCTCACGAACGACGAAAGAAATATCTCGAAAGAGATGGTACGAGTTTCGGACTAGAAGGAGCCAACGAAGAAGGAAAAGAGGGAGAGAGAAAGAGAGAGAGAGAGAGAGAGAGAAGAAAGAGAGGCGACAATTCGAAGTAGCACGGTTAAGGGGTGGAAAAGAGGGGTGAGTGAGTGAAAGAAGAGAGTGAGTGAGTGAGTGAGTGAGTGAGTAAAGAGTGAAGAGAAAGAGAGAAAGATAGACTCGTCTGTGCTTTCTCTCGAACGACGGGGATAACTGAAATAAGGTATAATTTTCCGCGCCAATTAAGGTCTTTAAGAATTGGGACCAATTGAGCGCGGAGGGTCAGACGTTGGCTCTAAGGGGAAAGAGATGTACCACCGCCATGACCAACCCCCCCTATAATTTATTATTGATTAGATCGAATCTAACGGCGCGGAGAGAAGTGAGGAGAAGGAGAGTAAAAAAAAAAGAAAAAGAAAAACAGAGAACAGGAAAGAAAAAGAGAAAAAGAAGAAAAAGAAAGCTTCGAGGCGCTTTCTCGTCGATTTCTTAAGATTACCCATCGAATTGTCCTCGTTCGTAGGTAAGAAGCTCGATGAAGGGAAGCGAAGACGAGCACACCGTTTTTCCGGCTCGGTTACCATCGTTGCCTTTCTCTCTCTCTCTCTCTTTTTCTCTCTCTCTCTCTCTCTTTCTATTTTTCTATCTATCTATCTATCTATCTATCTATCTGTCTTTCTTCTTCTTTCGTTATAAAAGATTTTCTTCTTTTTTCTTAGGCATTTATTTAGAACAAAAAAAAACCAATGAAAAGATAAAATCGTTGTCGTCATTATGAATTAAAGTATCGTTAAAAGATTTATAAAAAATTATATCTACTATAATGCAAATGAATCGTGTGCAAAAAATTAGATTGGAAGAGATGATCTAATTAGATATTTTCCTTTCTTTCTTTTCTGTTTTTTTCTTTTTTTGTTATAATTTGTTAATAAAATATATATATATATATATATATATATATATATATATATACATTGAAAAAAAAATAAAAACTCGTAAATGAGGAAAGTAACGAAGGTAAGTAAATAAGTAAGTATGTAGTAAGCTAACTAAAAATTATTGCGCTAAAGTGAAATTATTTGGTTGGCCTACCTCCACCCATTGATATATCTAGAACCAACGAGGTCATCATCGGATCAAGTGAGGCGTAGTCTACGCTTATGTGGTTCACACTTAATTAAACCGACATAGGAACTCTGGACCGGTAGCACGTGGCGGACAATACTGCAAGTCTTTAGCGTCAATTGTTATGTAAAGCATACCCTATATATGCACCGCGCAGTTTCTCTCGTCTCGATACGAGACGAAGTAGTACGTAGTAGGAGTAGATACTAGGACTACTATCTATAGTTACATATATACATATATCTACGAAGATAAAGACGATAAAGAGAGAGAAAGAGAAATAGAAAGAGAGAGAAAATGTCATTCTACGTTTCATATTCATAAATTTTCCTTTTCATCACTTTTACTACTACCTGAAAATTCGTATATTATTTATTTAAGTTAGTAAGATCTTACGCTAGGAAAATAAGAAGAAGAAAAAGAAAAGCAGAAGAGAAAAAGAAAATTCTTAAAAAGGAAATTTTCTATGTAACATATTACTCCTACCCGTCACCATCTTCTGTGAAATATAATGTTTAAAAACGTCCGACGGGATGATCAATTGTGATCTGAGATATCAGTTTCGTAGAAAGTATATATATATGTATATATATATATGTATATATATATATATATATATATATATATATATATACAATATATTCACTCAAGTGTAAAAATGATGGAACAATTAATGACATACGTAGACGTCGAAAAATTAAAAAAAAAAAAAGAAGGAAAAAAGAAAAAAGAAACAAACAAATACAGGATGACACTAAATTTTTTGCCTATCTAAAAAATCATAAAAGTACGACTATAATAATGTTTGAAAATAAATGGTCTTTTTTTTTTCTTTAATAGACATCCACAGTACCAAGTTACAAAATCTCTTGAAAATTAATCTCATATAAGAAATTTCCTATTTTCACGAATTCGTCCTCTTTGTTGAAAAAAAAAAAAGATTCGATCGTTTTAACAAACGAGAAAAAAAAGTGCACGTGAAAAGAGAAGAAATATATAGATTTGATAGATATAGAGAGATAGAAAGAGATAGGAAGAGATAGAGAAAGATAGAGAGATAGAGAAAGAAAGAAAGAGAAAGCAAGAAAGAAAAAGAGAAAGAGAGAGAGTGAGAGAGAGAGAGAGAGAGAAAATTTAAGAGCACACTCGTAGTGGGTTCCCACTCCTAGGAGATCGAAAATGAGACGATGGCTCAGAGTATTCTCGGTCCTCGACCATTGGTCCCGCATGGAAAAGTCTTGCCGCGCGAAAACCCGTCGATTGGCTGTAGGGCGAGGCATCCCCGTCGTCCGACGGAAACGATCGCGCGGAAAGCCAAGCGGAAGGAGGTTAAAGCTCCACCTACCTCAGCGATACGCTTCTAGTATAAGAGAGAAAGAGAGAAAGAGAGAGAGAGAGAGAGATAAATAGATTGATACAGTGTAGGATAGAATGAGACAGGATGAAAATAGTAGGAGGAAGGTGTGAGCACCTCCTTTGAGAGAGAGGAGAGTTTCGAAAGGACGTTAGTTAAGGAGTTGCAAAGGAGACAATTTAAAGTCCCTCGATTAAAAGGATTAAATGAGAAAGTAATAGTTTTCATTAAGAGAAAAAGAGATAGAGAGAGAGAGAGAGAGAGAGAGAGAGAGAGAACACGTAAGTAATCCGAGAACGAGTATTGACAAGAGAAAAAGAAAAAACAAGTGCTCTCTCTTTAAGAAATATGTCTATTGATTTT